GGACTGAGTTGAACATTAATGCGTCATTTCCAGTGGTTTGTTTTTGGAGTGTCGTGATGGGCATGCACGCATGCACGCAAACCTGTGCACACACAGAAGCCTGCTGAGCAGTTGCAGTTGATACTGCATTTTCTCAGTGAAAGTTTCTGACTATTTCAGTGACAGTGTGATGAGCTTGTTGGTGCATCCTTGTCAGTGTATGGTGTCTGCCAATGCAGGGTTGATAAGCATACATCTCCAGAGTTCAACAATTGCTTCCCTCAGGGATTGTTGCAGATCTCAGGATACGTGCTGGCCTGTTGGGTGGCGGAGTTTGGCTGGCAGATGGCGCGGAGCTGCTGCTGATTGGCAGTGCCTCATGGCTTCATCAACACAGCTGATATTGGCAATCACTTCCGTTGCGCCAAAGAGCACTGTCTCGAACCTAAAGTCAACATCACGGTTTTCAACCATGTTGGCATGCCATGACAAGGTCGCGGATACATTGGCCAGAAATTGGAATCTGTCGCCCTTCCTGAAAGGCTTCGTCGCCTCTTGGCAAATTGAGAAACTTGGTACTTGAGGCAGTTTAGGGTTTGGGGGCATGAGACACATTCATGAGAAAGCATGTGCGCAGGGCTCACCAGGCTGCTTGCTTCGAGCTAACGGTTGACTGTGGTGTGGTGGTTTTCGTACTTGGATACTGCAAAGATCTGGAAATGCCGAGACCCAGGTTACAGTGGTCTATACCGGCGTTATGGTCGGGAACCTTTGCAGTGGACCTTTGGGCGCACATTTGGGACGGAGGGAGATGGTCATCGCCTCGTACATAGGAAACTCGGCTCAGCATGAGAATGCGTGGGAAGGATGATCGCAGGCATGATGCCCAACCAGATGTGTGGAGATTTCAGCAGGACTTGCCTTTAATGTTTGCTAACTGAGGCATTTTCATCTTCAGCATTCTGTCCTCCACATCCGTCGGGATAGCAGTAACTGGGCTACCCATCAAATTGTCATGCGGAGGACCGTATTTCCACATTTTCAACAGTAGTGCAGGGCAAACCTCGTGGAGGTAGTAGAAGCTGCGCGGGAGGCAGTTTGTACACCAGGAGCTGAACCAGGCTGCTTCTTAGTGAAGGCCATTCATGTACCCTGAGCCCTGAGCCTGAGGTGCTCCTCATTTGGAGATTCATAGTTGGCTTCAGCATTGGTGCCGGGCAGCCGGCATGGCTAGCAATACAGGCTGAGATCTCTCCATCCTACTGGAGAATCTGTACCCAAGGGCTCACACAGAGCATGTTCGCTCTTGGGGATCCTTGGTTCTGGTTCAGTGTTTTGAGGGAGAACAGGAAAAGGCCCACCACACAAGACCCAAGTGACTGTGCTACTGCTAGTGTCGACCTTAAGGGCAAAGAGCATCTCAGGAACTCTATGCTGCATTTCTCCTCATGAATGACGACCCAAGTTTGCGGCACTTGAATTGGCGGCGTGTAATTCAGCTTGGCGCCATCCCGTCCTTGATTTTGATGGCTTTGAGCACTCCTTTCCTGCAACTTGACTCAACGACAGGACCTTAGCAGCAAGACCTCTACTATATGCATCCCATGTGTTGTTGCACTCTTGTAGATGGCTGCCAGCGAAGCCCCTTTTGAAATCTAATTCCATGCTAGACTTCATGTAGTAGCCAGCATGAAACGACTTTCAGCACAAGATATGCGCGCCCACCACCTGATTGAGGGAGCAGTCGCCGACCTATCTGCAACTCAAAGGACGCCCCGCGCTCAGGGCATAGGCAAGGGCATCCCAAGCGTGCCACTGCATCGCTATTACTTTCAGTGGCCCTGCAGACGGCAGACTCATGACCGGCGCGCTGACTCCAACCTTTGTTGCGATAAGGTCATGCCGAGGCACTGAAAGTGTTGGAGAGCATGCGTCGAGACAATCGTGCATATGATGTCTCGGTGGAATTCAGGCCGCTGTTTGATGACTTTGTTTTGGAGATGGGGGCCACCTGAGATGCTGCACTCCAGCCAGGCTGCCTCCCAATCCAAGTCCCGCACAAAGCTCCGCGGAAGGCATCCTGGATGTGTTCTGGAAGCAGGGCAAGGCCTGGTCTACAATCAGCTCAGATTTGTGAGGGTGAGCCCTTTGGCCCTGAAGATCATTTTGGGCGCCAAGCTGCTCATTCCTACCATGGTTGTGTCGTGCCTCGCCATGCAATATCAAGATCCACCCCGCACCCTGCGGCCAGCTCAGCAAGCAACATCACTTGCCCAGGTTTACTTGCTTCGAGCTGAACTTGGTTTATTACGGCTGCATCTATGCATTTCCGCAAGTTCTTTCGGATCTGGTGGAAGAGACCCTTGACAATTGTGCTGTCACCACTGCCACTTCGCGTAAGACCTGGACGTATAAAGCTGCGGCAGCTCTGTAGTAACTTCCTGCATGCGTCCATATTCGTAGCTGCCAGAGTGCCTGATGCAACAGCACTACCCATTTGGTTTTACTTCCAACGGGGAGAAGCCAAGGGGGGCAGCTCAGCAACTGCTGGTCGGGGCATTGTGGGAGATCCCGGGCGTATTCATCGGCATTGCTTTGGGGATGATGTACCTCAGGCAGCGAAGAGCAGACATGAAAACTTATGGAGAAGTTATTGATTGACGCTGGTTCCATCTTGCGTTCAGCAGTTTGCAAGTTCATGTGTTGCAGCTTCGTTTGGCTGCGCTGAAGCCAGTGCTGACTCCATGTTCCAGCAGGAGAACTGGCATGAAATTCTACTTGACCCTGGCTGCCAGCGTGTTGCTTCTTTTCATCATTGCCGGAAACAATCGGAACAGACATTGGGCCTTTGACATTGCACTCTATGCGGGCTATTACGGAATCAAGCTGTCGCCAAACATTGGCTTCGTGTTGGTATATATGGCCTTGGGCCAAGACAGGCGAACATTCATGTGCTTCGCCTTCTTCACTTGCCCTGCTCAGGTGTCCAACGAAATTTACCCTGCAGAGGCAGTCTGAATGAGTACAGTACATTATGACGCGTGCCCAGCCTTTTGCGGGCCACTACTGGGTTTAAGTCACTTGCGAGAGGCACGAACTTTGGGCTGTGGCCTTTGCCTTGCGATGGGCCGCTTGGCGGCCATGCTGGGACCGCTGGTCTTCGAGGGGAAGCTTGGACTTGATGGCCCAGTTCACACATTTTTTGCCCCTCGCATTCAGCTGCGCCTTAAGGTCTTTCCTAACGTGACAAGCTGAGGCTGTTTGCTTTGACCGGCACGTGGCTCTCATTCTTTTTGGTGATGGCGGCCTTTGCGGTATTCAATTTGTGGTTGATTGACCTCATTCCGGAAACAGCGCCACTTAGCTGTCATTGACCCTCGCAGTGCTGATCCTTTTTGAGCATAGCACGCTGCGAGGAACAAGATTCTGGACGATCATCGGAAGCCCAGCAAGTGAAAGTGCTGACAGCGCAGTTGGCACAGTAGCTGCAAACAATCCCTGGTGGCATGAACCACCACCAGGCAGATACTAGCATGCAAAAAGCGCGGTTCAGGTGATTCAGCAACGACTAGACTCCTTTGTGAAGCTGCGGGGGGCGCTGTAGAGAATGCACCCCGTCCGGAAACGTATGGAACTATGCTGAGCCATTTGTGGAAAAAGTGGGGGAGCCATGCGGCAGCATGCACACTCGCAAATTGTAAATCGCACGTTTGATAGTTGCAGGGAATTCCACCTTATTTACCAAGGGAGGTGGGCTAGCTCCACAAGGAAGACTAGAGACGCTAAAGCGCAGCCCAAATCATCCATGCTTTTTCCTTTGCAGCGACCATAAACCTTGGATCCGAGCGTGGCGTTTCGCGGGCCCCCTCCATCAGCAGCACCAGTTCTAGCAGTCAGGGGTTTCTGAAATCCTGTTCATGCAAAAGCGCCTGTGGTTTCCAAAGCCTGCTATGCCACGGGACACCAAATCCCTAGGGTCGCTCTCGTTGGGCACCTAATTCAAACTGTCAGGAGCTGCTGTCGGGCTATCAGGATGGGAAAGTTGCTTGCACCTGGATGGCAGGTGCCAAAAACTGCAGCCGGCCACATCCTGAGATCTTCCTTGGCTTGCGACATCACAGAATTTTTGAGTCGCAGGCGTGGCAGGGGAAGCCGCTCTGCGGGGGTCTGGCTCTGTTCTGAGATTACTGGCTTATGGCCTTTTCAGATGAAAATCCTGGGTCACCTAGGTTTCGGCAACGTGGACATTCCTCAAGAACACATCCTCTGCTCAGCACGTCATGCAGATGGCCGAGATGGTCCCCAAGCTAATTGCACTGCAGGGATCTGTCAGAAGAATGACATGTTGGGGGCCCGCTGTGACCAGAAGAAGGTGGAAACAACCTGCAACCGGGTGACTTGCCAGGCAAAGCTGGAGCTTCGGGAAGCGAGGTCAGGGGCTCAGACGTGTCTGCTATGGGGCCAGTGCAAATCGGGCACCGCCTCGGGTTTTAGCTGCCGTGGCCCTGGCTTTGCCGTGGAGCGCATGCTTCTGCCGCCGACCCTGCGTCATTGGACCTCCGTTTCTCTATACTTCTGCAAAGGGCGTTCCCGAACCCCCGCTGAAATTTACATGCCTTCCGGAAGCAAATCCACACGGCACGGAGGGATTTTTGAGGGATTTCTGGGGTGCCCGGGACTCCCAGAAAAGCATCATGAGCACCGACGTTTGTGAAAACTAGCCCCCAAGGCCTATTTGGCTAGCCATTTGGGCCCAGCAGCAATTTTTGCAGGTTGGAGGGGGTACTGGAAGGCCGCAGATTGGAGAAACGAGCCCCCCATGATGCTGGCCCCCTGCGCCAGCATCATTGGGGGCTTGTTTCTCCCTTGAGGAAGGTGGGGGGGGGGATGGGGGCACGTGCCGTCTCTCCTTGCCCGCTTCTAAATAAGAAGACTTTCTGCGCGGGACAGCGGCAAGAGAAGGGACGGGAAGCCGGCGGTTTGTAAATCACGTACCTGTTGAACATGTCATCTCTCCCAACATGCAAGTGACTCAATTGACGCAGAGAGCGAGGCGGAAGACTGTGGCTTTGGAGCTGCCCTCCAGATGGTTTGACGGGCAAGTGCCGAGACAGGCCCAAAAAACATTTCTACATTAAGTGGCTTGCCATTTGCCATGCCCAAGCAAAAGGTCAACAACATCGGGCCTGAGCCATCCGCTTAACAGTGTGCAGAGCCGACGCGATGGGCACAAGCTCTCCCCAGCTTTGACTTCCAAGGTTCTGCTGGCACCAGTTTGCCTTGCTTTTCGGACAGGCCATGTTCGTTCGTTCAAATCGTGCAAGGGCAATGGAAGCGTGTTTGGGCACTACAGGTCGCTACCATTGAGCTGGTTCGCCCCAATGCAAGCGTTCTGGTTCAGCTGCAGTTGGCCTACACCTGTCGCAAAGGAGTAAACCAAGGCTAACGTTTTTGCCGGGCTTTGCTCAGGTTGGTGTCCTATAAGGCACCTCTCTCAGTCCTACTCCGCAGCACTTTGGACTTTGGCGCAGACGTGGTCGAAACATGTTGAAATTGCTTGGACTGCAGGAGCCTGAGGGAGCAGCGGCCTTCATGGAAGCACTGACCGACAGGTACCTGCTTTACACCAAGAGCGGTGGCCAGCGACCAAGAAAGGGCAACCTACTCGGTGGGTCAAGCTCAGCGTGCTCAGCGTGTTGCGTTTTACCAGTCCCCGATGACTGCTACCCGGTCACGATCACTCCGGGAGATGGCGCGCGCCTTTAATGACCATTTTTTTAACTTCATGTGAAGCAGCTGCTAGGGACAGAGGACAGCTGCGCCAGGCTACTCGCTGAGAGAGTACTACTGCTCTACCGGTTGCTGCCTCAGTCAAGTATCATACTTTGCCATGTCTGCTGTGTACAAGTAAGGTGCTCCCAGCCCGAATCCTCCAAGACAGGCAGGGCGGGCTGGGCCATCAGCAGCTATCAGGTCCCAAAAACTTGCACCGCTTCGGCTTAGCTCAGTGGCAGGAGCTGCGACACGAACCTGGCATTAGTAGCCAGGCTTGGGTGGCAACACCTTCGCATTCTTTAACAAAGGCCGATCTGCTTGTGAGGCAACTTCGGAAGGCAGGGTTCAGGCAGGGTCCGGCGAGGGACCTCCTGCAGCTAAGCCCCTACGAGCTCATGACATGCACGACGTCCAGGCGACTGATTCACACATCTCACACAACCACAGCCTGAGGCTTATGTCTTGCGGCGCTGTGGCAAAACTCACGTGTGCCGAACTTGGAGTTCCATGGCAGGAGGTAGGGCTTGCAGCAAAGAATGCCCACTATCATAATTTGGAAGGTCCTTCAGAATTCGTGCATGGGTGATGGCAAAGCACCCTATGCCACACAGATACTTACAGACAAGCGGTATGAGGGAGGTGAGCTGCATGGTTTGCCGTGGCTGATGTTTCCAGCTGTCAGCTAGTAAGGCCGGATGCCCTCCGAGAGCCGCCGGATGAGTTCAGCGTTTCCAGCCGGAAACCGCGGCTTATCTTTGGCGAGCTTCTCAAACATCCAAAGGAGGTGAGACTGGTCAGGATGTGAGCGTTTGTCAGCCGTCCAGGTCGCGAGGATACTTGCGACGCAGGGACCTGAAGAGTGCAGCGGGCTATTTGCCTTGCATGATGGATGTCTAAGACTGAAGGCCGTGCTTCGACATCAGTACGTGTCGAAAGTGCCATACCCCAAGCCTTCCATGCAGCATTCGGGGTCGCAGAGCTTGAGCAGCTGGTACTGCGCTTGCTGCGCTGTGCCAGTCACGGGGTTTCATCAGGCACGGTACCTTCGTTCTCCAGGACTCGCCTGAGGCAAGGCGAAGAGGAAGATGCCGGGAAAGGACGGTTTCGGGGGTCAGGTCAGCATGGGCCGGATGCTACTACTCCTTGACTCCTCCTCAAATGGAATTTGGGTCAATGGTGTACGGATGGCGCGCAGCACTCAGCCGTTCCACACCTTGAGATGATTCCAGCCTGCCATGCAGATCTCCAATCTATCATATGTGAAGCACTTGCCTTTGCAAGGACTGGTCGGTATCAACAACTTCACCCTGGGGACAGGCGACATCCTGAGTGCATACAACCCATCAGATGTGAGTTGTGCGGCAGGAGGATCTGAGAAATGTCTTAACATGTCTTAGCCGGCTTTAGGATTTGGGTCTTCAGGATTTCATTCCTCGCACCCATGACCAAGTTGGAGGAAGACCCTGCAACATGGGAGGCGCGGCGATGCCAGCAATTCCACTCGCAGTGCTTAACAGTGATTCTTCTTTTTGTTCAGGTGTTTAGTTTAAGCCATGGTCCTGCCGCAGCCTTGCTGCATTTGCTGCATTCCCTGGCCACAGCTTCTGTGGTACGGTCTGTCGCTCAGGGAGAAGCTGCCGCTTCACCCCCAGAAGCGCAGAAGCTGTCGCTGCAAACACCTGGCGCTGCGCATGTCGATGCCGCACCGCAGATTGCGGCACTTACGAAGGAAAACCTGCAGCGTGTTGGTAAAGAAGTCGGGGAACATCGATCTGCGCCAGTGGTGGAGGCTGGCGGCACTAAAAGTAGCAAATCTACTCTAATTTTTCTCATAACCATTGCGATGAGGTCCTTCGCCATTCAATTCCCTCTGCATTCAAGGGGGTGCTAGCGCATGTGAACCATTGTGGAAAGTCATTCAGGTTTGCCAGGTGTGCCAGAATTTGGAGGTCGCGGGGTCTGGACCCCTACTCATACCGAGATAATTCAAGACACATCCGAAGACAAATAGTTTTCAGGCTCCGCATCGGGTGGAAGTCTTGGCGGCCTGGTTGTAAGGGGGATAGATCAGGCTAAAGTGCTTGACACATCCGTGGTCAATTTCATTTCCTGGAGTTGGACTGGACAACTCACCTTTCCCGGGCTTGTTCAAAGATTTTCAACTTTTTTCAACAAAAGAGTCATTTTTGGAACCCTTATCTTTTTCACACGTGAAAGTGACCAGTGAGACAGACACATGTGTGTGGGATGCCATGAACTTGCAGCTTCATGGCGGTCGCAGGCCCTCTGAGCTGCTAGGAGAATTTGTCAAACGAGACCTGGGTCCTCAAAAAACTAATCATGGAGACCAACTAGTGTCTTTGGGGCTGAGGTGTGGTAACATCTATGAATGCCTTTGCACTTGCTCTTCTGGAAGGTGACAGCGCCGCCAGCACAAGAGCGTGAAGCGCAATCTTCGCAAGATGTGGCGCCGCAGAGCCAGTCCACGCAAAGGCAAGTTCGGGCAGCGCAGCCCGTGAAGCCAAAGCAGCCAGCCAATGCAGTCCAGCAGAAGCCAGGCTGGGGTTTGCGGCAGCTGGTAGCGGGTAGCTCATGCCTTCAGGAGAAGTAGCATCCACGTGCAGTTGCCCAGTGGAGAAATCTTCGTTTCCAAACCTGTGCTAAAGCAGTCAGCGAGCAGCGAGCCGTTGAAAATCATGAATTCCATGGTTCTTCAGAGGACAGAACCTCTCTTTTCCCTTCAGCTTTCCCTCTATCAGCGTGACGCCCGCCATTAGCATCGTCATTGTCATCATTATCATCACCACCACCATCATCACCTGCTTCACTTCACCATGGCCTCCTCATAATCATGATCACTACCATGACCACCACTCATGCATCTTCTTATCTCGCGCGGGCTGCCACGAGCCATCAGCTTGAGAATATGCATCAGCATCGCCATAATCCTCCATCAATTTGTGGATCATTCTGGCCCCCTTCACAAGCTCATCTTCCATTCAGATCATGCAATTTGTCAGCGTTGTCTGCGCCCTGCGTAGTCTCATCGTTTGGTCAAAATCTTCTCTTTGGTATACATACACGAGCGTCCACCATCACAGTCCTCAAGTGCAACTATAAATGCAGCCTCAGCATATGCTCTCACCTTCAATCCACATCAATCCACCATGTCTTTTTGGCATCTGTAATTTGGCACCTATCATGTCTTGTACTTCTTTTTTGTTCCGCGTCGAGCATCCGTATAGCACTCGTCACTGACAACTTCCGCTGGGCATCAGCAGAATCTATCATCTTTCATGCTCCATGTCTGGAACCAAACGCCATTCAGCGTTCTTCAGCAGGTGTCAACATGCAATAAACCACATCTACCAACCAGCGTGAATGACGAAGCAATACCCCATCATGTCAATGGCATCATGCTAATGGCAGTGCTGCCGGCCATCCTTAATGCGCCATGAGCGTGGTCATGGCATGCCTGTTTTGAGCATGGTGACCGTTCTCATCATCAAGATCGTCATCTCTGACGGTGGAGTCTCTGAAGTGAAATGGTCATTGTCATCGGCATCACTCAAATGTTCACGTCGCTGATCCCGCCGTTCACTCAGACAGCGTGCCTCCTGTCATATCGCCATAACTTCAAAGAATCATCGCGATCAGCATCACAGATTGGACATCATCTATTAGCACCTATCCTGAAAATTACAACTCATCAAGACTGTTCGCTTCGTAGTACGTAGTGGGAATAAGCTCTGTCTGCTGTTCGCTCCCCAAGCCTTCAGATCATGACTCAGAGCGAAATTTGTCACATTTGAAACTTGGCTAGATTCGCACTTGGCTGACTTCTTTCTCTTGGGCAATTTCGGTCTTGGATGGGGTTTTCATTTATGAAATCCTATATAAGACTTTTAGAGGAGCCTAGCATTAGTTCAAAATCAATTTTCCCAACGATCGTCATCTAGTCATTTGCATTGGTCTGCTGTCTGCACGACATCCAGTAATGCTTACGATGCGGCCCGTTGCTACTGCAATTTTCCGGATTTTTCTTGCTGTGTGGTTTCTGACTGTTGACGCTGACTTTGTCTTCACCCCTAATGCAGCGCAACCGTCCTTTTGGCGCTCTTTGATATGTCTTCGTTTTCAGGCTTGTGAGTTCTGCAAGAGCATGCACATGTGCCCATGCGCCCTGCATGTTGGTACAAGCTAGGTTGGAGCGGAGAACGTTCGCCCTCATCACATGGTCGTTTTCGCTGTCCTCGTCACCATCCTGGTTCTTGTTGTTATCGGCAGCCCTGTCATTGAGCTTCGCTACGCTTCATGTTTATATTCATCTTACTCTGCAAGTTCCCCTCACAGATTTTTCTGCCCCGAATCTGCTTCAGAGCCAGGCAAGGCGGCGACGGCTGTGCAGCCAGGGCAGCGAAATCAAGCAGTGCCCGCACAGCAGCAGCAGCAAGCCCAACCCCCGGCAAAAGCACAGCCCGAACAGCAGCTAGCAAAGAAACTGAAGCGGACGCAGCCAGAGCAACAGGGGCAGATGCTACCAGTGCAAGGTGCATTGCCAGACCAGCGACAAAAGCAACAGCAGCAAGCAATGCCGCAAGATGAGCAGCTGGACAAGACGGCACCACCACGGCCAAAGCAAAAGCGCGCCAAGACCGCTGCAAAGGCGTCTGCATTGAAAGCTGCAGAGGAGCAGGGTTCAAAGCGCGAGGCATCACCCAGCCAAATGCCCCGGCCTTCCAAAATCCGAGCTGCAAAGACAATGCCAAAGCCTAGCGATCCAAAGCCAGCACTGGACACTGAAGAGCCCTCAGTCGAAGCAATGGCAGCAGGGTATGCTGCTTTGGCAGCCGCTTACTTTGCAGCAGCGAAGGAAGAGGAGGAAGAAGCTGAGGCGGGCACTGTGTGAACTTGTGCTTTTAATGTCCAGACGTGCAATTAAGATCACAAAGTTAAGCAGGTGCACCAATGCTCTCAAGCTCCAGCCGCAGAACAAGCAGCCCCTGAACAAGCCTCAGCAGATGTCAGCAACTTGAACAATCTTGAACCAGCAGACACACAACACTTCGCCTTGTCAGAGCTTGCCCGAATAGAAGGTTTGCCGGGGCCTCCACACCTGCAAACGTCCATGCCCTC